AATTTGGTGTGCACCGATTATTCATGGACTTTCTAATGTGCATTTCAGACATCGACGAATGCGCACTCGAGACGAACAACTGTGTACAAGATTGCGAGAACGTGGAAGGCTCCTTCAACTGCCTCTGCCATCTAGCTACGTCTTAAACAGCGACGGCTTTAACTGTACAACTGGTAAGATCTGGAAATCTGGCAAATGTTTGGTGGGTCAGGATTATAAGACCCTAGCCAGGGGTGACTGGCTGAGTTTGGTTTTACGCCGCTTTAAGCTATATTCCAGCAATAACATCACGGCCGGGGACACCAGAAATGGGCTTCACAATGTACCCATGTAGGGGATTCGAACCCGGGTCTTCGCCCGTGACGAGCCAACGCTTTAACCACTGAGGCTACCCCACCGCCCAGCCAGCGGTGAAGGGGTGAACTGTTGCATCTTCTAAACTGTTTTCGGCAAGTAATGTATGTTATAAGTCACATGAAGCTCTTCAACAAAAGCGGCTAACTATTCTGTTTGTATCAATGGTTTTAGACGTCGAAGAGACATGCCCAATAGACTGTGGGATACATGCTGTATGTAACGCCAGTGGCCTGTGTTTGTGAGAGGGATACGACAACGTTACCAGGATATGTGAAAGTGAGTATACATCATTACTCTACTGTGGACTACTTGATTCCGATTGCTCGATCATGGGTATCATTTCACCACAATCGTAGTACATAACACGGAATAATATTCACAAAAGAAGTACATCTTTCCCCATCACTGTAACAGTCAATGTGAAATAAGTCAAAATAAATTAGGAACGGTTCCAGAGTCAACTTGCAACGGTTAGATCTGCAATGCCATGATTTCCACACTCATTTTAAAGAAACGGTTCGAAATTACAACCAGGGTCAAATCTACACTTGTCTACTACTACATCGAGAGCTTTCTATCTTGGTCTCCGAAGTTTTCGGGTCTTACGCGAGGTAATGACACTGCGGCCGCATGTCTGGTACATAGCACATATTACTGCCTGGAACAAAGATCCTGATCACGAATAATGCTACAAAATATGCATCAATGTATTTATTATATTCTGTTTCAAGAACCGTTGTAGATTAATAATTTACCAGGAGTTGTTCGATCGTCCTTCGAATGTGCGCTTCTACCTTTATAACAAATGCAGGCATATGTACTGCCAGTAAGGTGGGAAGTTCGTGCTTTAATGTTCAGACGCAGAGAATTTAGAGACAAATACATACTATCATGTTTCTGTGTCATGCAAGCTATCTGATGTATTAGGCTTTTCTTCTGTTGTCACAAACCTATTAATGGATCTCCGATAGGATAAAGGATACAGATATTTCCCTCAATTTCTCATTTATGAAACACGTAAAACAAGTATGTTTATGTATGACTCTAACACCTTACTGGTTCATATCCATCTAAAGCGTCGGTGTATAATGTTGTAGAGATACATGTATAACACCGTATATTAACACGAATATTAAAGCGAACTAATGTTCAGTGTTTACAAGCTGCTACCTTCACAGAGCTCATAAGATCCAAAAACTTGTATTACAGAAAAAGACCCATGCAGCGGACGCCTCTGTACACATGGCAAGTGTGATAACAGCACGGGTTTCTGCCAGTGTCATGATGGATACTTCGTGGACAACACGAAACTAAGCTGTATAGGTAACGTCATAACACTACACATAAATATTACATTTAAAGGGGCTCCACAGTCCAGTACCTATTCATTATGCAGATCTAATAATATATTGTTTTTTCCATCGTCGAATTCCATGTCGGGTGCCGTTTGCTCAATGTCGGTGTGCTCATAGAGGTGCAACATTATAACTGAACAATGCGTTCTTATATGTCATTCTCAACTCCCTGGGGAGTAACCCATGGGGTTAACAGTCACATTATGAGCTCATCCGAAACCCATTGCTTGCCGCGTGAACTGAGGTATATTTCAACAGGGTTTTGCCGAAGTAACCTCTTATAGCATAAACCCCTGACGATATCTTCTAAAAGTGTGTATATTAATCACTATTACTGCATTTAAAGCCTATCGTGCAGACCCGTGAAGATCCGGGTTAGAATCGGTCTTAAGTAACCAGTGCTTGTCGTAAGAAGCAACTAACGCGATTGGGTGGTCAGGCTCGATGACTTGGTTGACATATGTTATCGTATTCCAATTGCGTAGATCGATGCTCATGATGTTCATCACTGGATTGTGTGGTCCAGACTCGATTTTTTACCCACCGCCGCCATATAGCTGGAATATTGCTAAGTGCGGCGTAAATCGAAAGTCACTCACTCACTCCTGTTTCAAACAGCCTGTCATGACGGAACCTGGGGCCCTAACTGTACGCATAGATGTACCTGTGGTCCCAAAGCTACTACAACTGTCTGTAACCACATCAGCGGAAACTGCACCTGTAGCCCCTACTGGACAGGACCAAACTGCACGACACACGAGAACGAGTGCGATAGGGGCGTTTGTGGTAACGGAACTTGCACTAACACTCCTGAGTCGTACAACTGTTCTTGCAGTGAAGGGTACAGCTTCAACCCTGACAAAGGGCAATGTGAAGGTATGCTTAAGAGTTTCGAGCATATAACGTACATCACAGGACTGCCTATATTATTTGTTCAGCCGTTATCATTTGCCGTTCATTGTCATCACAAACAAAATTTCAAAGGACTGTTTTTCCTTTTTTTAAAGTTGGTACGTAACAGTAAATGGAAGATATGTTAACATTAATAACTTCTTTGTTGTATTGACAACTCTATATTGCTTTAACCGTTACTTTTATTGTTGCATTATGTTCACTTTCCATTTAACTGAATATTTACTCAACAAAACAGTTAAGGACCACCCCAATATTCAATATGAAGTATCATATGGATCGTAATATGAACTATCAAATACTTTAATATTGAAAAATAGGGTGGTGTGTAACTACTTTTGTTGAGCATATGTAGGGCTAGCTGTCCGTATGCGAAAACGGTTGTATCATGGTCTAACGGGATACGTGTGCATATTTAGTACTAACAGTCTAACACCATGGAAAATTCAAAGTTCATGGCGTCAAAACGGCATCACTGTTTTATACAGTATCTAGATTTACTTAACAATACGTGTTTTTCTTTCTTAATGCCAAACATTGCCTCTTCTTTTAAAGCCTCGATAAATGATGCCAGCGGGAAAATGTCAGGTTCGATATGGTTAGATTTGCAAGTTTGTAAAACGTGCATGCATGTTGTACTTCTACATGTTGTTGTATTCACACGTGGGTTGTTCACGACAGTGCATGGGATGTTGTACTCCGATATGTATTATTCACAGAAGTGCTTCGACTGTTGTATTCTGCTGTACCTTCTTCAGTGCAGTACATATACTGAGAGAAACAAATAAAGGAACACATGAAAATTCAAGTGCTCCCGACCTTAAATATATTCCAGTTTTTATCACCAGCTTCGAATACCGCTATGGGGAGGAAATATGAAAATAAATAAAGGAACACTGCCATGAAGTGGTGTTCCCTTATTTGTTTCCCTCAGTATATATTTGCTTCTCAGACAGAGTCGTACAACTGTAATACTGCTGAATGCATCGTCAAACAAACACATACTCATGATGCAGTGTTAATTGTACAATCGACTTTGCTTTTAGTAGAGATTGCTTACAAAAGTGGAAAGGGTTTTGTCGTCTCTATTCGTGTATCTGTTGCACTTCAGACATAGATGAGTGTACAAGGATGCGTGACAAGATCTGCCTACAGAACAGTTCCTGTGACAACACCGACGGTGGCTACGTCTGTAAATGCCACAACGGCTTCCAATTACAGTCTGATAACGTCACCTGCGTCCCGAGTCAGTTTTTAAGTAGTTTAATTTATACTAAATGTTACATTGGAAAAATGATATCATGCATTTAACTTTTACAATATCATGCATTTAACTTTACAATATCATGCATTTAACTTTTACAATATCATGCATTTAACTTTTACAATATCATGCATTGAACTTTTACAATATCATGCACTTAACTTTTACAATGGCTGAGTCAATAACTATTTAACGACAGAGCTTCCTAAATCTATTCGACGATGGTGCCATGGGCGTATGGGATGCAGTGTTCATGGTGAAATGATGGATGCAGAGTTCATGACGTCCTGACATTATAGATGAATGTCTCTTAAGGATAAAAAGGGCGGTTGGGGTAGCCTAGTGGTTAAAGCGTTCGCTCGTCACCACAAAGACCCGGGTTCGATTCCCCATATGGGTACAATATGTGAAGCCGGTGTCCCCAGCGGTGTTATTGCGGGAATATTGTATAAAGCGGTGTAAAACCATATTCACTCACTCACTCACTAAATGGTAAATCAAGTCCTGAAGAGCTTTAAGGATGATCTGTACTAAACGCCCGACACGCATGATTCAATGTTGTTCTGTTTCTCTGTGACAACAGTCCCACTGAAGACCGATCCCACGACCACATCCATTAAGACAACCTCCACTGAACACCAAAGAAGTGCCACCAGCGCCAGCACCAGCACCAGCACCGGCACCAGCACCAGCACCAGCACCGGCACCAGCACCAGCACCAGCACCAGCACCAGCACCAGCACCAGCACCAGCACCAGCACCAGCACCAGCAACAGCTCCAGTTCCAGCAACAGCACCACGAAGAGCCAAGGTAGTAGGACTAACCAGGCATTTGGAATGAAATGGTTGATTTAGAATAATACTATCTAGTCGAAACATTTCTACTTCAACCCGCATAACGATGGAAAAAAATTACACTGTCAACACATCTGCAAGTATATACGCATACATACACACTTGCAGAAATCACATGCGCGTGTACGCGTGTACGCGCGCGTTCGCGGGTGTGTGTGTGTTATGCTATGTGTTGTGCTGTATTATTCTAAGCGCTGTGTCTGGAGCAACGGGTTTTTTTCATTTTTCCCACTACCCCGTTTTGGTGAAGTATGATTTGTTTTTACTACTGTTTGCATGTTCTTTGTCCACACCTTCATACTAGTAACACATATCCTAAATTGTGAACACCAATAATCATTTGGAAAGGTGTTTATTCTTCAATTGCCTTATGATCCTATTGCTGCTTTGGTATCAGGTAACTAATCTTTAAGCACTTTTCATAGAACACTCTATCGCCCTGGCTGTTGGGCTCGGCGTCGGTATCCCCTTGCTCATCATCTTCGTCGTTGTGGTGGGCGTCTGTCTCTACAGGAGACGTGGTTTCAAAGGAGACGCATTGGTCAACGAAAATGATCCGTAAGTTGTAACTGTATGTGCGCTAACGTCGTAGGTTGGTTGGTTTGGGCTCAGGGAACATAAACAAACGTCGAGGGTGCATCAACCCATGAGCCCCGAGGGACCAGTGAACAACGTATTTATCTTACCGAACACCTCAATGTTAATTTTGAACTGTTTCAAGCACACTGAGGGGGCAAAGAAACGTCCCCAAAGTAAAATTGTAAAAACATTTCTTCTGTTTTCGTTATGACGGAAATTTATTTAGGAACACATCTCCCGAACGCATCCCACGTCTCACAGAAAGGAAATCCACGTGGAGTTTTGTAAGCATGAAAATTGCTTTTATTCACGTTTTTTGCATGCTTCTGTGGAAACATACCCGTATGAAGTACAGTATAAAATTATGCTCGACTGTTCGAATTCATCACTTCAATACGTTGGACACAAAGAACATGCCTCGACTCACGGCAGAACAGAGAGAACGAGCTATTGGGATGTTGCAGCTGGGTGCTTCTCACAGTCACGTTGCAAGAATCATGGGTTGCAGCAAGAAAACCATCACCAGACTGATGACACGCTTCAGAACAACAGGTCGGACTGCAGACAGGCCTAGGACAGGGGAGACCACCCGTAACCACCCCTCAGGAAGACCGCCATTTACGGGTGCTTCACTTGCGCAACAGATTCCTGACTGTGACGTCATCAGCAACAACCAGCCTTACCCATCCAGTCAGTAGAAGGACCATATCAGACGACTCCGCCGATTCGGTATCAGAGCCTACAGACCATTCCGGGGCGTGACGTTAACGCGTGAACATCGACGTCGTCGATTGGCTTGGGCACGTAGAGTTCGGCAGTGGCAGCCGCGGAACTGGCGCCGGGTACTCTTCAGTGACGAGAGCCGCTTCCAGTTGAACAAAGCTGATGGTCGGGTACGAGTCTACAGACGTCGGAACGAACGCACAGCACGTTGTTGCGTTCAGGAAGTTGAGACGTTTGGCGGCGGTAGTGTGATGGTGTGGGGGAAATTTGTGGCGAGAGGAAGACTGACTTGTTGGTGATAGAGGGAAACCTGAATGCCCGTCGATACATTGATGTTGTTTTACGACCTGTCGTGTTACCCTTCCTCCAGCAGAATCGAGGCGTGTTGTTTCAGCAGGATAACGCTACTCCCCACACTGCTGTTGTTACCCGGAACTTCCTGAACAACAACAACGTAAACGTCATTCCTTGGCCAGCAAGATCCCCGATTTATCACCTATTGAGCACCTATGGGATCATCTCGGCCGTCAGGTTAAGCAACGTCAACATCCCCACAGACAAGAAACGCTTTGGCTCAAGCTCTACAGGAAGAATGGCGTCGCATCCCACATCACGTGATCAGACGTCTTGTGCACTCTGCACGACGTCGTGTGGCAGCATGTATCGCTGCAAGAGGTGGACACACTCGCTACTGAGGAGTTGGACACTCAAAGACACTCTGTCAGTACTGATGTGCATGTGTTGTCATGATCGAAAACCGGACATTTGAACCTCCTGTGAAAAACGTCACAAAAACTCTACTTACAGCAAATTGTTTCAATTGTTCTGTAATGACAGTCTGCATAATATGTTCAAAAATTATATCAAACATTTCAACATTGAATTGCACGTGTTTGTATCATTTTATGATACAAAATGATCGGGGACGTTTCTTTTGCCCCTCAGTTTATGGATTGTCTGGTCTTTACTCGATTATTTACAGACCGCCGCCATATAACTGCAATATTGCTGAATACGGCGTAAAACTAAACTCACTCACTCACTCATTCATTCATTATTGTCCACGTTGTATGGGAATCGAACTCTCGTGGTTGGCGTGATGGGTCTTGAACCACGATTTAACTCCATGACCCTGGACCCATACATTTAATCACACAAGACTTCAGGTAGCCCACTGAGATGAGTTGTTTATTATACTCGAATTCGAAAGTGTTGGAAGCTGTATAAAATGATGCTCGCAGAGGCCTCTTCTTCAAGATAAACATAATGCATTGACGCAGGACAAAAGACATTTCTGGGAAACGTACTTTTTGGTCTTTTACGACAAGCATGGGTTGCTGAAGGTCAATTCTAACCCGGATTTTCACGGGTAAACTTCATTTGGAACACAATGCGATTTTGAGACACTTTCGAACTGTCAGTTATTAGAAATTGTTCTGATGTTTGTGAGATATTTCCGGATATTTCTGAAGTGATATTTAATTGATTTTATCTCATTTTAGACCGCGGTCATATTTTAGATAGATAGATCGTCTTTAGTTCCTCCAAAAATTTAAATACATATGCATGATTTAGCAGATATTACATTATACAAAGTACAAGTGTGTGAAAGTTATACAATACAAAAACATTTGAAGATATGTATATATAGGGGGATGTGAATCTAGTAATATGTGTTGAAAAACCGTTTCCATTCATGAACAGTTTTACTTGTGATTTTCATACATGGAATCCACAGGTCAGTATCAAGAGCTCTAATATTATCATTTAGCACACCTCCAATTAGAAGACTAATCAATACATCATCATCATAATCATCATTCCACACGCTTACAAATGTGGTAACATCCAAAAGATCAGTAAGAGAGCTAAATAGTCACTCTCTGTTACATTCGGTTTGTGGACAAAACAGAAGTACATGTTTTAATATTATATCATATGTGCCACATAAGCATTCTTTAGATTGTATAGCGAAAGTGCTGACACGTATAAGGTAGGTATCAAAAGTGTTGGAAGCGGCGTAAAATGATGCTCAGTGATACCTTTTCTTCAAGATACACATATAAGAACGACCAAAAATGCCAAAGGTTAAGGAGGCTTACTATGTGTTTTCCGTTATTGCATTATGAGAGAAGTCTTTAATCCAAACTGTTTCTGTCGAGAAATAATCAAGAGCCCTGAGCTCCTAAAGTTCCTCCTGAAGTTTCAAAACGGACCCTTTTTAAATCAGGCATTGTTTATGATTGACAATGCTATAAGTTCACACTATTTGTGGAGGAGATGTGAAAAACGGTTGGTTCTAAGATACAGGCGACATTTCCGACAATTTTTTATAAATAATTCCGTATAATTGTCATTTCAACACCTTGAATTTTCAATCGTAAGAAAACCTGTTCGGGAAATTATCGAAATATTTAGACATAAGTGCAATCCAGTGGCAGGACGGTTTTTTATTTTATGCTGACGGATTTACATCGTTTTCCACTAGAAGATGTATGATATCTTTGAGAAAATACTCAATATACTGTAAAAGAAAAAAACAACAGTTGTAAATAGTTTAACAGCACGATTTGTAAGGTTTATCTTATGTATTTTTTGACAAATTGAAGAGGGTTAAACTCTGTGGGGTTTTTAATGCTATTTTGTTATTATAATTTTACAATTTTCTTTCTTCTTCTATTTAATTTAAATATTATTTATTTAAATGTTTCAATTTTATTGGGGATAGGGTGGGTGGGGTGGTGGGGGTTGGAGGTTGAGTTGTTTGGTGTGTACATATATTACAGAGATCGATTCAAGAACCTAATGCCCTAATGTGACGAATGCCTCTCAATTGCAGATACAATGTTAGACCAGCCTTCGGAAGTTTGACATCTGCGCTTGGAAGTCACGGTCGTCGACGCAACGATGACGTCATGCGCGGGATGTATAATAAATACTACAGTAACTGGGGCACCCCGGGCAACACATTTAAGGGGACAAAGCTAGGGGGCGCTTCCAGCCCTGAGTTCTACAGGCCCCCCAAGAAGAACAACCCCCTGGAGTTTATACCACACACACACCGAGCCGACGGCCGTATGTATTCAGTGACCCTCTGCTATTGTTAATGTTCATTGCTGAAAGTGAGTGAGTGAGTTGAACGCCGCTTTGAACAGTATTTCAGCTTCATCACAATATCCATTTTTACACTACAGCAAACTTTATTTCTTAGATATAGGACCGCCTGCGTGGCGTGGTGGATAGAGCGTCCGCCCGCAGAGCGGAAGGTCGCAGGTTCGATACCTGGCCGCGTCATACCAAAATACGTTAAAACATGGTACTTGTTGTTCACTGCCTGGCGCTCGGCATTTATGGGTAAAACAAGGACTGGTCGGCTCGGAGTCAGTATAATGTGTCTGAGTGGGGTATGGTATCTCAGTGAGCTTGCACAATGAAACCAGCTAGTGCAAGCAGCCACACACATACACACGCATGCACATCGTCATATGAGCGAAATATTCTCAAGTAGGACGTTAAATCTGAAATGTAGGTTAGTTAAGGCGATATAGTTTCCATACTGGTGGATGAGGAGCTATCACAGTTTGGTGTATGGGTGGAATGTTTGTGAATGCGACTTCAGCTTCGACTCAGTCTGTGTCTCCTCCATTTCATAGCGACGTCATCTTCGTCTGCGCAAGGGGACGACGACCACAACCCTGCTCGCGACTCCAACTTCTCCTGGGACTTCCTGTACAAGGCTCTGAAACCTGAGGAGGATGTGAGTCGAATATAACTGTACATTACTCCCAAGAAGTGTCTCCCTACAACATATCCGTGTCACCCTACAACATGTCATTGCCTCCATAACAATGTATATGTACACCAAGGCACTGGTTCATATGCTGTAGCTGCGTCTTCATACCCAGAGACTGCACATAGACATGTGTCCTCGCAGTGTCTCCGTACGCTTTATTAAGTTAGCCATGTCAATGTAATATTATCTCACACATATATACTACCCATCAAATGTTCAGACTCGCTAGTGTAAATGTAACCACTTACTTTAGTCAACTGTTCTAACCTAGATTTTGCAAAATATCCCATTCGGTTTAAAGGTACTGTTTACACATGAACTGATGTATTGTGAAACAAATTCGTAACGTTGAAAAGATTATTATCATTAGTTCAATAAATGATAAAAATCAGTGAAAATTGGCGAATTCTTAACAAAACATTACACCAAAACGAAGCTGTTCACATGAACGATATTTGCACATGCTTTTTAGCAAATTGATGCATAATCCTCGTACAATTCATCTCCATAAAGTTTGCAGTTGGTTCCCCTAAGCTAGTGGAGGAATTCATCTTCGATGTAACCATATATACTCATGCCAATAATGGTTGTCACCACCTTCAATTTTTAATTGGAGAGGGGTGGGAGTGTGAAGTGTGTGGGGGTTGGGGTGAGGGGGGGACAACCATTATTGGCATGAGTATATATATACATAACATATAATGAGTGCTTTAGGTGAGTCTAAACTTTTGATGGGAAGTATAATTTACATTACAAGCTGTATTTCGGTATCCGTGAACAAATTATTTATCGGTAGCCACTTGTTTACGCTATCAGATGAGTGTACACAGAGACAAGTACCTGTCTGTTTGTATGTTTCAGTTCCGACTACAGAGGCCCGTCGTGTCACCTGCTCAGCCCTCTGAGGTACTTCAACACTATTCCCTTCGAATATTTTATCTGTGCATGGCAGAAGCTTATGATCATATGTTCGAAAACCGGTTTGCCCCGGTTATGTTTCTTGGTTTGTCAACACCATGCCGTGGGTTTGACCAATCTTCCAAGATCACTTCCTTCATTCCTCCGCCATGAAGCTGACACACCGTGATGTAACTGGAAGATTGTTTAAAACTGCGTTAAACCAAACCTATTTACTATAGCCAGCACTGTTACAGACCTGTGAAAATCTGGGTTAGGATTGGTTTTCAGTAACCCATGCTTGTCGTAAGAGGCAACAAACCCATCGGGTGGTCAAACGCGCGGACTTGGTTGGCACATGTCATCGTGTCCCAGTAATGTACATCGATGCTCACGATGTTGATCATTTGATTGTCTGGTCCAAACTCGATTGTTTACATTAGGCCGTCATATAGCTGAAATATTGCTTATGTGGCGTTAAAGAACAACAATAAGCATACCGATCTTAAATCATTAGTCCCACTGAGTTCGTTATAAACGTACTTTACTAAGTACCGAAATGATTTGTTGTTACGTCGGTTTACAAGAACTCTGGTATACCGGGAAACCACTTTATCATCCAAAACTGTGTTCCACAGTAGATATCGCTTGTGTGAGATCAGACGATATCTCCTAGAGATATCGTTTTGACAGTAGATTTCGTACAATGCCCTGACAATACTATGACGTCATGAACTTGTTGACGTCACAATGTTATGAAATCGCTGCACTGAAAATCTAATGGCAGTACTGTGTTCAGAGATGTACATTTTTCATTGAAAACTAATGAAGAGTGATTTTTGATGATAAATAGAATCTCACCCTCGTGTCTTCTGATATCAAATATATCAAAACTCGTTGATAAAAGTAAAAATATCCTTGGCAAGCCTCGGATATTTGTTACTTTATCAACTCGTGGTGATATCAAAAGACACTCGGGTGAGATTCTCTATGTCTGACCCGTGTAGATGTCACCTAAACTAGCTCACCCAGGGCAAACATGTCGGAAACCTGCTTTGGATTATATGAGAGCAAATATTTGCAAAACAAATTGTTCATTGTATGGAACTGTTAGTTTATTGCACGGGCAATACAAAATTTCTCACTCGGTTCGTGTAAGTCGTATGACACACTTGCTCGTGTAATCATCTCGTAATAATATAGATAATTCAGTGATCAACAGCATGAGCATCCATCTACTCTATTGGGATACGATGACATGTGTCAACCAAGTCAGCGAGCCCGACCACCCGATCCCGTTAGTCGCCTTTTACGACAAGCATGGGTTACTGCAGATCAATTCTAACCTGAATATTCTTTTTTCCCGAAATCTTAATGTTTATTTTCATGAATTACAATCCTAATGGCACTTATGATTTTGTTTCACGTGAGGTGGTTTAAGGCGCCGTTCAGCATTTATTCGACAACCTGTTGTGATTCTCGCGTGACGCACCACTCATTTCCTTGTCGATAACAGTATGTAATCTGTGCCAAAGTGTACAAAGTGCGAAGCCCATTTCTAGCATTCGCAGCGGTAATATTGCTTAACTATTGTTCACAGCGATGTAAAAGCCTTATTCATTCACTTACTAGTCCTGGGCGGTAGCCTAGTGGTTAAGGCGTTCGCTCGTCACGCCGAAGACCCGGGTTCGATTCCCCACATGGGCACAATGTGTGAAGTCCATTTCTGGTGTCCCCCAACGTGATATTGCTGGAATATTGCTAAAAACGGTGTAAAACTGAATTCTCTCACTCGCTAGTCTACTCTTATTCATAATGTGTCACACTCGTATACTGGTTCTTGACGTTTAAGTACATGGAAAATTAAACATTATCAATAGATACTTAGTATGCATACACAATGTCATTTAGAAAGCGTTGAAATGAAACATACATGTATGTTATATTTGAGACTACACGTTCTCAGTAAAGTAAAAAGTCTAGGACTTACGCTGTTAGACAGGCATGTCCAAATAAATGTAATTAAAATTGTAAGTACGATGTTGGTTCCCGCGAAACGAACGGCCCTGTATGGTGTCTAATAGATGCTGAGAGGCCTTTGATCTATCTCAATACGTACATGTGATAATATGAGCCTTTTATTAGACGCTCATTCATGGGCCATAAACACATGTGTCCCTGTGACTGGATTTTCACCCAGCCGGCGGCGTGAAGACGAATGATTTAACCACTAGGCAACTCACCACTCCGGCTGAAATGAAAGATACGATAGCTTAAGCAATGATTATAGACCCCATGTGAATATTTACACCGAATCTGTTATCTAACACCACTTGCCTTTAGGCATATGAGTGTGTATATTAATGTTGAATTGATCGAATGAGAAGGTAGTGTACTGAAGTTATATAATGGAAAACAGAACGAAGTGCGTTAACCAAAATCATGACTTTTTTGTTGGATTTGAAGGGACATACCTAAATACTTCGAGTTATCCGACTTTCTCCGGGGCGGTGGGGTAGCCTAGTGGTTAAGGCTTCACTCGTCACGCCGAAGACCCGGGTTCGATTCCCCACATGGGTACCAGTTGTGAAGTCCTATTGCTCGCATTCCCAGCTGTGATATTGTTTGAATGTAGCGCCTTATTCATTCACTCGCTAGTCTGGGGGCGGTGGGGTAACCTAGTGGTTAAAGCGTCCGCTCACCACGCTGAAGACCCGGGTTCGATTCCCCACATGGGTACAATATGTGAAGCCCTATTGCTCGCATTCCCAGCTGTGATATTGCTTGAATGTAACGCCTTATTCATTCACTCGCTAGTCTGGGAGCGGTGGGGTAGCCTAGTGGTTAAGGCGTTCGCTCGTCACGCTGGAGGCCCGGGTTCGAATCCCCACATGGGTACAATTTGTGAAGCCCTATTGCTAGTGTGCCCCATGATATTGTTGGGATGTTGCTTAAAGCGGCGTTATACTAAACTTACTCTCTAGAAGTTGGACGAGCATGAATACATGACACCAAGGAATATCTCAGCCCCGATCACTAGAACCGGGGAGATTACTGTTTCGATATGCTATTAATGTGTAATTAGTAGATTCAATCCTCTTGCTTTGCATGTAACATTATACGTAAATGCCAAGGGTCAGAACTATGAAATTTTGTTCACCGTTTCTAAAAAAATAACGCCAGTTATTTACACTCGCATTTCAATGTAATCATAAAACAGCTGTTTTTGCATTAAGGCTATTCACATTACACATTGTGTTATTTTGGTCACGCTGAACTCGTATTTAGGAACTTAATTTTCCTTTGTTATACTTCGGGTCATGCAGTGTCTTGTTTCTGGGTCAGGATTTTATTATATCCTGAGTTAGGATTATATTCTAGAATTACGCACGGTGCTGCAGTCGACTAAGGTGGTGCGTGGTCCTGTGTGCATAGAGCTCAGGTCACAAATCAGTTGAGGTTAAGCAACGTTGGGCGCGGACAATCCTTGGATGGGTGACCGTGTTTGGCAGCTTGACTCCTGAGAGTGTCTAGGACTTTAGTCCTGCCTCAAAAAACGAAGCACATGTGGTCTCACCTTAGGCAAGAATGTTTTTTCAAACTTGCCTCTGTTCACCCAGCAGAAAATGGGTACCCGGTGGGATAAGTCTTGTGACAATAACCTTCTAGCGCCTCACGGGCAGCTTAGATTATACGGGGTAATAATATTCAGCTTGTAGCGCTTTGGGCGTGCCCGTCCGTGGTGTGGTATTCAACGCATTACAAATGCTCTTTTTATTACTATTATTCTGAATTCACTGTGCAATATTGCACCCATTGGACATGCCAGAAACTGTTGATCATGTGTTCGAATCCAGGTTACCACCGATGATGTTGTTACGGTTTGTCAACACCATCATCATGACAAGCATCAACTCAGGCCTTCCTTCCACACAATTCTGACACACCCGTGATCTAACTGGAACATTGTTGAGTGAGTGAGTTAATATTCGACGTCACATCGGCATTATCTCAGCCATATCGAGAAGAGGGAATATTGTTGAAAGCAGCATTAAACCCAATTCACTCGCTCACCCACACTTTAGCTTGACAAGATAATCCATCAACAATTTCTGAAACATGTAAAGCAGGTTGAACCAAATAGCACCACAAGCAGCTTAACCTACCAACCTTGACACCAGTGAACGATGCACCGAGAAAGGTATTTCATTTAAAGTATCGTACAAACGTCACTACGTGACTCGCCCAAGGTACCACCCTAGTATTATAATCTTAAGGATTCAGTTTAACCTGTCCCAAATTGATTTTATTTATTTTATCCTGGTGTCAAATTCTTCAGAATCAAGTTCAAACCTGTCCAGCAATGCACAAATTGTTTTTCAGGTTTGATCCTATTGTCAAACTCTTTTGCTTTAGGGCTCGTGAAGATCCGGGTTAGAACTGATCTTCAGTAACCCATGTTTGTAAGAGGCGACTAACGGGATCGGGTGGACAGGCTCGCTGACTTGGTTGACACATGTCATCATATCCCAATAGAGTAGATCGATGCTCATGCTGTTGATCACTGGATTATCTGGCGCATATTTTATTACGAGATGATTACACGAGCAAGTGAGAGAGAGAGAGAGGGAGAGAGAGAGAGAGAGGGGGAAGAGAGGGAGAGAGAGAGAGAGAGAATCATTTTGAAAGGTGTTTATTCTTCAATTGTCTTATACAATATGATCTTTCTGCTGCTTTGGTATCTGATAGCTGATCTATAAGGGCTTTTCATAGAAATCTCTATCCCCCTGGCTGTTGGGCTCGGCGTCGGTATCCCCTTACTCATCATCTTCGTTGTCATCATCGTTGTGATGGGCGTCTGTCTCTACAGCAGACGTGGCTTGTATATTTGTCAAACATTATCTGCAATCCATTCACAATATTGCAGTATTACGTCACATATTTAGATTTTAGCACTGTTTACTTTAAAGGTACTACGCCCCACCACACCACCCACCGACCCGTGAAGATCCGGGTTAAAACCCATGCTTGTCGTAAGAGGCAACTAACGAGATCGGATGGTCAGGCTCGCTGACTTGGTTGACATATCATCGTGTCACAATTGCGTAGATCTATGCTCATGATGTTGGATACTGGATTGCCTGGTCCAGGTTCGATCATTTCCTTCGATATAGACCGCCGACACATAGATGGAATATTGCTGTGGCGTTAAAGATCAGCCAACCAACCACCGCCCCACCATGTCCCACCACACCAAGTCCCACCACGCTCACCAGGATTAGAACCGTAAAACAATACATTGCTTTTGCAGAACATTCGCGGAATTACTGAAGAACCCGACAACAGCCTTGTATACTGCCTTGAAGTATACACAAGCAGTTAGCCATCAAGTGATTTTCTGTTACAGGTAGCAAGAGGGTTGTATTTAGCCTATATATCGTTCTACATTAGTCAGTAATCTATCTTTAAGACCTCTCCATTGTAGATACCGTCTGGAGAGATGCCGGCATCTAATGTGTGAGAGGAAGCAAGCCGAACCATCATACGTCATCAACTCGGATGCAGCAGGATCCGTGTCTCAGACAATCTAAACTCAGCGATACTTCATCAAGTCTTGAAGCTGTAGTTCTCCTTCAGTTTCGTTCATTTCCTTCAACTGAAGGAGGTGACATTTTCGACGTATCAAGCCAGAACTACAGGGAGACATTAAGACATGAAAGGAAACATATATTATACCTAATCCTGAAGCACATTTAACAGATACCCGTGGTGAATGTCACAAAGACATTTAGATATAAAGCACATATTTATACTTAACCTTGAACCACATGTAACATTTACTGAGTCAGGTCGGGTTATATTACGTAATAAGTCTTTCATATTTATTTTGTTAACCGGTTTACCGATTTCAGATTAATGTGAAATCTAATCTAATATCTACTAGGGTGCAATATTCATGTTATTACTCCGTCTACGTTCATTATGTCTTGCATGTATATCTCTGTGTGAAAAAGATGTTAGATCAGATCTTTGTTGGCAGTATTGCTTTTCGCATTCCTGTTAACACATAAGAAAAAAGTCAACACTAATATTTACCTGTCTCTTATAACTGATTAGTGAAAGTTGTCTGGGGGTGTCGTGATCACTTACATGAGAACTTTGGTATATGAACTTATAAAACTCACTGTTAGTGGCATTTGATTGGCTGCTCTGACAATTACTTTTGAGTTAAAGTTTTCAAACACCGAAAACAAACTATCCAATGCCCACTAATGCTCTCTGATTGGCTAATCTGACAATGGGCATTGTTGCAATGTTACGCAGATGTTGTGTTGTCTAAAATTGTTTGTCTGTTAATGTTTAAATAATCTGGGACGTTATTATTGTTAACAAAATAATTTATTTTACTTCGATGTCTTGTACGTTTATGGAATTTCGTACCTAGACTGTATGTACTCCTGTTTCCATGTTACACGTAACAAATGAAGTGAATGCATGTATATGCAATGTGTGCTATATATATATTTATGCTGAAAGGCTTTTCCATTTCCTTGTGATAACAGGAGTGATAATGTTTGCATATGCTAATTTACTTTCGTTTTGACCCGTTATACTATTATGTAATTTTATACTGACAGTATTAAACATGTTATCTATATCTATGTGAATCCATTTTTTTCCCTTCCTTGTGCCAATATCAATAGCTCAATATATTATAAATCATATTTGTGAATAACATTTGAAATGTTTTGAAATAAATTATTTTCTTACGTGTTCGTTGCTTTCATTATCAAGTGTTACCTAGCATCTAGAATTTGCATGCAAGATCACCGTTCTCTGGGAATCTGCTGTCACCTCTCGACAAGCCTGAGTTCGACAAGGACTTTTATGAGGAAACGAAATCAAAAGTGAGTGATATAGCAAAAAGTGGCATACTTGAGAACGATCCAATCCTAAAAACAGATATTACATCCAATGAAGTGAAAGCAATTATTAAGAAGCTGAAAAAGAATAAGTCTCCCGGACCTGACTGTATTACTGCTGAGCATCTCCATTATGCCGGCACTCTTCTGTTTAAACACCTGGCGCACCTCTATAATATGATCGTCAGCTCCTGTCACACGCCTGTCATGATGAGAACTGGAACTATTATTCCAATACATAAAGGAAATAACAAAGATAAACGCAGCCCAGCTAATTATCGCGATATCACTCTCACATCAGTGATTGGGATGGTGTTTGAGACTGTTGCTTGACAGACTGGAATCCTACATCAAAATTGTAAATCCTGATTTCCCACATCGCCTCCAGTGTGGATTCCGGAAAGAGCATGGAGCCAGTGTAGCCACATATGTATTAAAGGAGGCTGTTTCATATTATCGAGATAGACACTCAAATGCCCGTGTTGCCTTTCTCGACAACGAAAAGGCCTTCGATAGGATATGGCATGAGGGGCTGTTGCTGAAACTATTCAATCTTGGTGTAAAGGGCCGTGCATGGCATATCATCCGTCAGTCGTATCAAGAAGCAAGTGCGTGTGTTGAATACAATGGTAAAATGAGTGATTTGTTCAATGTCCAACAAGGAGTAGGACAAGGTCGTGCTCTCAGCATGGATGTTCCTAGTCTATATCAATGACCTGATATCCCAACTTGATGATTTACAATACGGGCTAATCGTTGGTAAGGAGCACATCCCCTCAGTATTATTGGCTGATGATACTACTGTTGCCAGTACTACTGCACATGGACTGAACATGTCCCTTGCTGGAGACTGACATAAAACGCCAGTAAGAGCTGTTCTTGTCTCTCATCAACGACAGAAGACAATGTAATAGATCTGTCTTCAAAATTGGAGCCGTGACATTGCCGATCCATACTAGCACGATTTATGCTGGCTCTCTGATACACACAGAGAAAGCAAGTGGACGAACTACTCGAGCTTGTACTAAAGCAAGACAGACAATCAACTCCCTAAAAGAGGTTGGCCTCAGAGCTGGAGGATTTAGCCCAATATCTTCTTCGAATATCTGGCAAAGAGTAATCTTCCCATCTGCTTTCTATGCATGTGAACTCTGGCCAAATATCAGCAATTGTGAAATCAACGAAATGGAAACTTTGCAACGGTCCAGAATCTCCACAAGAGGTCGCCTACAGGTGCTACAATCCAGGTCCTTGGATTATGGACAATGCTGGGCAGAATAGATAAGATGAAGCTTCTCTTCCTAGGACGACTCTGTAGAGCAGCCGGCACAACCATTTTGAAGCCGATCTTCTATCTGAGACTGTGCCAGTATGCCACCACTACCACACATAGTACCAGATCCATAACACATGATCTATTAAACGTAGCCAAGAAGTATAGATTATCAGGCGTACTAGACAAATTTATCAAAACCGGAGAATTCCCATGTAAAAGTATATGGGAAAGCACAGTGCAACGAACCTTGTGTAGATTTGAAAATATTAAATGGAGAAACACTTTGCAACAACGTCCTGATATGCATAGGTTTAGTGATATTCACACTCCAGCTTGCTCCACATCGTCTCTGGATCTGTGTGTATGGTATGGTATCGCATCTCCTCCTGTGCCCTGGTTAAGCTCGGCATATTACCTGTAACATCGGGACAATGTCTGCTCTGTGACTGCGAAAGTGAGGACATTGTTAAGCATCAATTGCTTTATTGTGAAAACCTCGTTGAACAAAGAAATGTGCTAAGCGAGACGTTGTTTGATAACCTCAACCTTGACATCTATCTCAGACTCGAGGACACTGCTAGTGATGAAGCTAAGGTCCTGACATACCTCGGTGCCATTACGGATGTGGTCCATGATATGACACTTGACAGCTGGGCAACATTCATGAGCATCGTGGCTAAAACTGTCAGCTCATGGAACTTAAGGTGTATATTATATCTGTGAAATTATGTCACACACCATGTAATTACGGATCTTCATATTTCTCTTCGTTGTGAAAACCCTGTAGAATTGCCATATGTATTGTCTCTATTGTCAGTGCGACTGACAAGTAATATAATCTAATGTACTCTCCAAATCATTGGAGGAAATAAAGAGTATTCATTCATTTATCTATGTGAATCCATTTTTTTCAGTTCCTAGTGCCAATATCAATAGCTCAATTAATTATAAATCATGTTTGTGAATAACATTTGAAATGTTTTGAAATAAATTATTTTCTTACGTGGTCGTTGCTTTCATTATCAAGAGTTACCTAGCATCTAGAATTTGCATGCAAGATCACCGTTCTCTGTTGATGAAAACAGACAAAATGGTCAATTTCCTGAAGAACCTTTGTCTAAGAGGGGAAAGTCAGTTAGCCATCCACGCTGACATCGCATCAACTTAAGGGGTGGTATTTCTTTCTTTGCCACTGTTCAGAGGTGGACAACGGGTAATAGCGAATCTGGAAGATGATCAAAGATTGGGGCAACCTGTGACCAGACCTTCGAGAGAGAGTTGAGACCATTCTCTGGAATACACTGGGCATGACACAGTTGCAGCAGGCTAGGCATGTTCTGAGGCTTCTTACACCCGATGAGAAACTTTCCATACTGATTATAATTATTATTGTCTCTCTCTCTTATCATCTCTATTAATGTACGTCAACTTAAAGTAGACACCTGGTTTTGTTAAAGGGATTTGTAAACAAGGATGAATCTCAATTCATCACTATTATATGGAGAACAACATTTAAGGCAGCGAAAACTGCATCTCCGGAGAAGGAGAGAGGGAGATGGCCTCAGTATCAAGAAAATCCTACTTCAGGGAATCCTACCTCTTGAAAGGTACTCGTGTGAAGATCCGGGTTCGGATTTCCCATGATTTTCGTAAGAGGCGACTAACGGGATCGAGTGGTCCGGCTTGCTGACTTGGTTGAAACGTGTCATCGTATCCAAATTAGGTCGATGTTCATGATGTTGATCACTGGTTTGCGCGGTGCAGACTCGATTATTTAAAGATCACCGCCTGCGTGTTGTTCCACCAGGAGCAACATAACAACGTATGGTATGGATTTACAATACCTGACCACCCGATCCCGTTAGTTGCCATGACACCAGGGACAAGTCTGTTGTCGGTATGGCTTCAGTGCACAATTGTTGCTTTGTACTCGATAAACATCCTCCGTGTTTATCATGTTGCCACCTCTCCTGAGACTTGAAGAATGATTTACCAGGTAGGTGTAGTGTGAATGATGTCTGCTTTGGTGGCCGTTTTAGTCCAACAGGAGTGAGTGAGTTTAGTTTTACGCTATTAACAATATTCCAGCAATATTACGGCGGGGGACACCAGAAATGGGCTTCACACATTGTGCCCATGTAGGGAATCGAACCCGGGTCTTCGGCGTGACGAGCGAACGCTTTAACCACTAGGCTACCGCCCCTAGTCCAACAGGAGGAAGCATAAACCAGTAGGATTCAAGCACTCGACATGTTGGCAGAAGAGTGTGTGGGATTTTCCTGTGAAAGGTATATATACTCCCTCCAAACCGTTCCTCGAAGTTTAGCTGAGAACTTTAGAACTGTGCCTCGTACCTTGTGGTTTTAAAGTACAACTGTCTGGACACCTTTGCAGGTGCTTCTGATCGTCATAACCTCATAAATATCTGGGGACACATGTGTGTAGAGTTGCGTCCCTTAGGCGACACATGATCCAAAGATGCTAGTTCGATTCCCAGATTAAAGCTAATAATGATAATCA